TTATGGAGACTGTATTGTTCTCCCATTTTAAGCTTTATACCGACAAATTTTTAAATCATCATTTTCCTCATAAATCTAACTGATAGGGCAAAAGTGAGGTTTTCCTCTTCTGTTAACAGTTAACATTAACAGAACATTGTTAGTTCTGAAGTTCAGGATGTCCTTTGCCTTTTTTCTGTCCCAATTTAGAGGCCCTGAGTTTTTTAGAAATTTGAGATACGAGTTACGCATGTAACAGCACTTTTATAGTTAACGTTTTACAATTTATTTTAAATAAGCTGATTCTGTATTTGCATTCTGTGAAACAAAAGGAATCTGTATTGGGGGAGAAGTTGTTGCGATTTCCCCCTGCCAAGTATTGCAGCTTTTTTGACTATCTATGTAATAACAATAGTAACAGTAAAATGCCTCTCCTTCCCCCTCACTACCTCAACAGCTTTATGTTTCAGTCTGTGGTAATTTTTCTTAGAAAATGATAATACTGCACATAATGTTCAACAAAGTATTAAATACACTTTTTATTATAATTGAAATCAATGTTTTAAACTACCAGCTTGATGCTTTGATTTAAATTTGCTTCATGGGAAGAATGTAGATGCATCATTCTCTTGTAATGCATTCTGCCATTTCGCTGTTACACCGCTAGCAACTCTTAATTTTCTTCTACAATGAAGAAACATTTCTGATGAAATTTTTCTTGTATTTGAGCAAGTAGCTGGGAAAGATTTGTAAGCAAAGATCTGGTTTATTTTGCAGGAAAATGGCCACCTCGGAACTGTTTTTATGGGATTTCTGAGTCTTTGGAGGTTTGCCTTTACGGCTGCACATGTTGAGCAGACCTTGAGAACCGTACTTTGCAGTCATATGGGCCAAACCAAAGATGGGGGAGGAAGAAGGCCCAGTTTCTGGTGAACAGACTGTTAGCTGGTCACAGCTCACCTAAACGCCTACAGTTCAGGGTTACAAGATCAGTGTTGTTGAGGGCTCTTTCTAGAACCAGTCTGTTCAGCTGTTCTTGATACCTGAAGTCTCAGTTGTTTTCTAGAGATTTCAGTCTTTGCAGGTTTTTTCCCTGTTCTTGCCCATTGCTACGGTGTACGGATTCTTACAGTGTCTGGTTTTTTCCCTAAAAAAGTAACAGTAGCTTGTTCTATTTAGTGATTATTATTTAAATCTTAAATTGGCATAGTCTGGCTTTAGGACGATCTATAGAGTATCTAGTTTCTCATGAGGGGCAGATGTGACATTCCAGATTCTTATTAAATAAGTTTGGTTTTTTTAAAAAAAAAAATTATTTCATTGAGCAGGACAGTAAGCGTGTCTGCTCACTTTTTTTAATCTCCTTTTGGGGATTTTTATGGTAAAAATATTTTTTTGTTATTGCTTTTGAATACTTGTGTAGCCAGTTAAGTCAGGCTGCTTAAGTTTCCTTTATTAATGTTTTTGCTTTTCCTGAATTTTAAAGAGAACAAAGAGGCAGAAATTTTGTGGAAGGATCTGCCTTGTACTGATTAAGACTTTAAGGCATAAATCTTTGAGCCTCCTACTCTAAATTTCAAAAATAGTCCAGTAAATAGCTTGAGGGAATCTGAAAATACCCATTTTAGCGTACAGCCGGCTCACAGTGAAAGTGGTGGTCAACATATATGTTCATATGTACCTTGATACTTTGACTCAGCATTTATTTTTCCATCTGAAGCATTGTTTATGAAGGTCCCACAGAGTAGGTTTTATGATTTAAAGCATGTTTAAGACTGAATCATCAAATAACTTAGTTTGAATAATTATTTTTTTTTCAGGCTGATGACAGCAAAACATCAGTGAGGGATCGGTTTAATGCACGACAGTTTATGTCGTGGTTACAGGACGTTGATGACAAGTTTGACAAATTAAAGGTACACTTCTTTGTCTTTCTACTTTTAAAAAAAAAAAAACTCTAAGGTCACTACAAAGATGAGATGAATAAATAGTAGATTTGTATGCAATATTGTAGGCTATTGTAGAGGTTTTAAGGACAACATAAAGGCGAGTCTAGCAGTATAAAAACCTAATCTTTGTTGCTATATAGCTTAATGGAATAATCTTGCAAATTTCTAAATACATAGTGGGGAAAATACTACCACCAGAGAGGCTCCTAGATGTTTTTTCTATTTTCAAACTTGTTGCAATATTTTTTCAAATATTGAAATAACTTCTTTCTCGATTTTAAAATAGACGTGCCTTTTGATGAGGCAGCAGCATGAAGCAGCAGCTTTAAATGCGGTACAGAGACTGGAGTGGCAGCTTAAACTACAAGAACTTGATCCTGCTACGTACAAATCTATCAGCATTTATGAAATTCAGGAGTTTTACGTCCCTCTTGTTGATGTTAATGATGACTTTGAATTGACGCCAATATGACAAATAGCATCTTCTGGCGCACCCTTTCCCTTGGACAACTAAAATTGAGGTGCAGTGATACACAAAGGTATTTTTCTTTTAAGACAGAGCACTTAATTCCGTGGAATACTACCTTTCTCAATAATTCAGGTGTTCCTTCAGAGAAGTGTGGCACGAGCTCTTGTTCAAACACAGAAGATGATGCTAATTTTAAAGTCAGTTTCCCAGTAAACGCCATTATCTGTATTTTAAAGCTGCCTATAGCTTTAGAGCTTATTGCTGAAAAAGATGACAAAACATGGTGAGTTAACAGCGCTGGAAGCTGTTAATAACTAAAACAGCCACCAGAAAACAAATGATACTTAAAATCTGCTATAAAGCTTTGTATTATGAAACTTCAGTAACAGTTGAACTCCCACAGAAAAATGATGAAAAAGCCTGTGGAAGAAAGTGTAAGACTTGGAGGAAAATAGTCTATTAATCTTATTATATTTTGTAAATTACTGTACAGTTTTCTTTTTGGAAAAAGATGTAATATTGTCTTCATTTTTAAATAATTTATTTTCTACATATTGTGCAAATGTAAATAGTCTTGTAATTAATGTTCAAACCTGTATAAAATAGATATTTTAAATGTAAAACTGTTTTTGTCTAATGTTTTATTGGACCAAAGTTGTAGTTTTTATTAAGTGTAGTGCGTTCCTGGTTGGCAGTTCTTTTTTTGTATGGCATGTGTTTGAATTAGCTGCTTGTTTCATCACCATAACTGTAAAAGAATTGAAACCGAACTGTATTGCATGCTTCACAGAACTCTTAACTCCTTTATGTCAATAACTGATATCTAAACAATTGTAATATCTACAAAATCATATTTCATATGTCTGCTGTTGTAATGCCATACCTATGACTTAGTATACTGAAAATATTTTTGTGTAAAACAAAAAAAACCTTTTGCTCTTATATGGTGGTCTCGTAATAGAGCCTATTTTTTCCAACAAAATGCCTTTGAATGAAAATTCTTAAATTGTATATTGTCTATTTTAATATTAATCTATGGAAGGATATGTAAATAGTTGTAAATATAATGTTTAATAAATTTTATTGGTCATGTTATTAGCTGGAATTTCTTAATATTGTAACACTTGCTAGGTCAAATCTTAGCATTCCTGAAATATGTAGGGAGGCTCAATGAAACTAAAAAAGATTCCTGTTGTTGTGAAATTCAATGCTTTTTTTTATTCTTAGTACTGTTAATGAGTAGACAGTTAATTATTTATTAGTAAGAGGTTACAGATATTCATGGAAAAAGATTTGTACCCTCTAGTCCATAAATTATTCAAGAATGCTTGGGATCTGATGTCTGTGAAGTTACTTCAGAAAGAAATGGGGCTGAGGCAAGAGACCTGGTTACCTGGCAAAGAGATTTAGAGCACTTGGTTTGAACTGATTTCTAATTACTAGGTGAACTGCTACAGGGTACTGACTCCTGCTTGTATGAACGCCCAGGGTGCCTTTCTTGTGACGGAGAGCAAACGGGCATTGAACAAGAGACTGCATGGGCAGCAGGCTGCTCCTCTAGTTCCAGTCAAGAATAAAGTAATAGTGACTCAAGCACAGTAAAACCAATTAATATGTCATTGCTGCCCTGTAACTTTTTTTTGCACTTTTGTTAGGTACCTGTGGAATGAGAAGTTGTTCCTGCTTTTATGTAGGAATATCTTCCTGACATCACCTGGAATTGAAGGTGTACTGAGGAAAATGCAAATGTGATATTCTTCTGAAAGTAAAATGTTTTGCTGAAAGTAGCTGTAAAATTTAAAAAAAAAACCAAACCAGAAATCTGTATTACTTGCTTTAAAAGACAAGGAAAAAAATCGATAAAGTGGCAAGGTGTTAATAACTAGCAAGTGGTTCTGAGTTTACTTCCATCAGATCCTTAGAGTAATAAAAAGTAACATACGTATCTGGAAGTGGGAGAACCTAATACAGACTTTTTGAAGTGTGGGATGTGAATGAGGAAGAGTATTTCATAAAGGACAGGAACGATGAACCGGGCTGCAGAAGCGTTGGCCGTGTCAGGCCGTCGCACAGCGGTACCTCGGTGCGCGCTCGGAGAGGGCAAGGGCGTCGGGGTCTGCCGGAGCAAGAGCCGCAAGGCGAA